CATATGGCAGGGTGGGTCGCGTTCGGCACATTCGCGTCATGTGGCGCACATCGTGTTTGAACGCGCATGAACGTGGCCCACGAGCGTTTGAACGCGGGCGTTCGAACGGGAACGCGCGTTTCGCGCGTTCAAACGGTTACATAGTTGAGCTACATGCAAAAGACGCAATGAAAGTCTAGATGAGTTCATGAAATATTGCAATGGGACTGTCATTCTATGTACAGATTTTCAGTTATAAATAGGTTAAATCTAATCTAAATTAGAAGATATTTGTTGTAGTAGAATGAAAGTTTAATTAAAATATTTTATAAGCTCGTCTAAACTTCTATTCCATCTTAAACAAATAGATGTAGTTGGAAGGGAAAACCTATGAATCCCCCGCGGTCATGACCGCGGGGTCGATCTCGGTCGGCGGTCGGGATCCCGACCGCCGAGGTCGGCTGCGGGTGAAGGTCGCGGTCGGAAAACCCCAACATTTTTAATTCCTAGGATAATAGGCCAAAAAAACAACAACAAATATGGGGTTGTAGGTTTAATTGCGCTCTACAACCATATATTTTTAGCTTTATTTTGTGACTTCGTTTTGGATTTAAAAAAAAATGAAAAACAGAAATCCCTCAGGCAAAAGTTCTTCACTTTATTTTTTTAGTTTTGTTTGTTTTTTATCTCAAATTTGGTAACTAGTTTTGATATGACCCCAAGGCAAAAGTTGTTCAGTTTATTTTTTGGCATAACATATATTTGTTTCAGATTTTTCTGAATTCTTGTTTTGTTTTTTTTGTTTTTTTTCCTTGACCGCGGACCGCGGTCATGACCACCGGACCGCGGTCATGACCATGGGCCCGCGGTCGCGACCGCAGTCCGCGGTCATGCCCGCGGTGACCACGGCCGCGGGGGATTCATAGGGGAAAACTCATATTTAGATGGGAATTTATCAAATACAACTGAAAATTTAAAATAGGATGAACATTGGAATGATAATTTATAAATATGAAGTGGAATGTTTTTTCAACTTTCATTTCCTGTGGGAATTTTTCTGTTGATAGAATATGAGATGACCGTTGCCGCGTGACATGCGCACGCCCAATAAGTGACGCCCAAGTTACTTCCTTGCAATATGCAGTCCCTTGCAAACCTCACCATCCCTGATCGTAACTCAATAACCAGATGTCAACGAGACTTCATTGCGTAGCTTGCTTCGCACCTTTACGAAGGTGTATCTCTATCGCTCGCGACTCCCACGTACCTCACTCTCTCGTGCTGGTCCCGTAACTGTCTAGTCGTCTTAGTCACGACTCCGTTGCGAGTTGGCCTCCGAGCCGTCTTCCACAGGCTCAGTAGGCAGGTGGTCCCGTCGCCACTGCTCTAGTCCATGCCAGGACTGCGTTTCGGCATAGCTCGCTTCACTGGCGGCTTCAGTATGGCCTCTGAGTCGTGGTCCAGGTCTTGCTGTTCCCGCCTTGTCGTTCCAGAGGAAACTTCGGTCTCATGACATGAGACCGTCACCTGAATCTCCATCGTAACCCCATCCATTCGGCACCTCCTTGTAGCTCTGTTCTTAGCCTCCGTAATAGCCTCCTTCAGTCTCTGATCTTTTCGCATTTCCTCCTCTCCTTCCCCCTCAACATTGATCTTTAATTTTGCCTCTCTGCCATCGAAGTCCAGGAAGTCCAGGATCGAAGTGATCCAAGGGCTTCCTTCTCCCGACTCTAGGGTCCAGTGTACAAGAGAGCTCCAGGTATCTGGTCTATAGCCACGCAGACCCTTGTGGTACGCCATAGCCTCGCACCTTTGGAATAGTCGGGGCCTTGCAGTTGTCTGTACTCTCACGTAGAGCCAACCAAGGTCTAAGCACCTCACCACTCCACTCCGCTACCTCGATTAGCGCGGCACCAGTTCAAACTCGCACGTGTTACCACTTGACTCAATCCCAAATAACTCGGCAGCTATTACCGTTATAGGGTCCCGAGCAGCGCTAGCATTCAGCTGTGCTGCTGGGGAAGGAGCAAGGACACGGAGGAGGAAGAAGACCAGGACTAGGAAGGGGAGCGCCAGAGGTACTTACCTGGCTATGGTGGTAGCCATCTTTATCACCTTGGTGGGCGCTGCAGCAGGAATGCCCCGTTGGGGCAGAGCTACACCCAGAAGCTTCGAGGCGGAGTCAGGCATGGCGGCCTGAGCTAGAGCAGCCATAGCTGCTTTGTGTTGTCCTTTGGACAGTAGGGTGATGCCCTGGTAATCCGCCATAGCCTCGGCCTATGAAAGAGAAAAGAGAGAGAGGAGACACCATGGCTATGGTGGACCTCAAGTTATACGTGCAGTAGAAGAGGGAATCGGACATCAATTCTGGATCTGCCATTAAGCATTGTTATGATTATCCTTGTTTGAATAAGAGGGGAGAAGATAAGGAGAAGGAGAGTGGTTGGCGAAGAAGAACAGCATTATCGTTGGTCTATGCTGGTGTACATCATCTTCTTCTTCTTCTTCTTACCCTCTCTCTCCTCTCAAGTTATTCATTTCTTTTTGCAATTGGACGGCATTGTACTTTCTGATGAATGTGTACTTCGAAATTGTCCAGGATCATAACAGTATGTACTAAACAATGTAAACAGTTTAAATCATTCGCAATAACATTAGAGGACACAGTTCAAATGTTCTCATTGACATGGCCCAACGTTATGCAAACTTAAGAACAGCCCTATGCGGCCGTAGTAGTGTATTCCTCATACCGTTCAACGGTCTTGCTGGAGTTTTGCAGGGCAATGCAAGCTTCTTTTTTTGTTCTTTTTTTTTTTAATTTTTGATGCATGGTTAGCCCCAACATGCATTCCTCTTCGTTTTTCCTTGTTGAAAAACAAAAGGGTGAGAATTCTTCCATCAGCAAGCTGACTCTTCGGTCTCACCACCACCTCCAGGAAACAAGTATTGTACAACCACACAACACACACATGCTTTTCCATATTAGGAATGTGACAACCAAGGCCACTGCTAATCAGAGAAAACTGTCCTCAAGAGCCAAGTCGAATCACACCATCACAGCTGACAGTGCTATCACATAGACAATCGAAGTACTGACAGCTGCCCCCTGCATCTCGCAGAATCGACACAGATGCCATTTGACGAAATTTGACCCGCGCCTTATGGGCCGGCATGGAGATGACTTCTGTCTTGCTGACTCAGCAACATCTGGCGCGTTCTTCAACGTTGTCTGCTTCTTGATAAATGCACCATGTTTCCGTGAAGGTACGGACTGTCACCTGTTACCCTTCGGCCAGAATCGGCCTGTTGAGGTTTTAGTCAGACCCGTTAAGCATTGGGAAGTGAGGAACATTTGTGTAACTACTTTACATTGTTGAGCCATTGCCATGCCAGTCAAGCCTTGAATGACATTGAGATGATTGAGGAGGCACTGGACCTTGGGACCACAACCCGTTCCTCCTTCTATGTCTCTCCTCCTCTTCTCCTTGTCCATCTGATCTTCCTTGGCTGTCCATAGTTGGAGCTCGCTCAAGACAGAAAGTGTTGTGCTGGTTAACGGCTTTGGGCCATCCTGGCCCTTGAGATCTTTCTCAAGTCTTGGAAGAACCAACATCACCATGTCGGCAACGTGCTCCTTGATCTGGTAATGGACCTCTCTTTCCCAGTTCTGAAGTCCCAACCGTCTCTGCAGTTTCGGATAAGGTATGATAAGTAGCCTGACCAGTGTGGGGAGAAGATCGGAGCTAACGAGCACTTGATGACGAGCAAGCAAGAGGTGGAGAACTCGAGTTGCATTTCGCATTCCTAGAAGACAATTAACGGATCTCTCGAAGTACTCCATCCTGTTCTCTGAAGCGTCAATAAGAACAGAGTTGATGTCATCAAAAAGCCCGAACGGTGGCCGCCAGCCGGGGTTCCCGAGCGACTCCCAGACGAGAAGGACGAGGCGAGGAAAGAGATTATAAGATGCCAAGGCTTCAGTGAAAGAGCTTATGAAGGAAGGGGGGAATGTGGTGCTCTGCTTATCGGTCACTCTCTGCTGAATGTCCGGAGTGTCCACGATGGAACATAAGCTCTGATACAGTGTTCGTATGACGGGAGCACCCCGGACCGTGTCAAGATAGGGGGATACTTGGCTGAGTTGGCTCGGTTTCGGGTTCAAACACAGAAGATCACCGAAGAGAGCAGCTGCAGTCGCCACACAACGAGCAACATCAACCTCAGCATCTACTGCCCAAGGTTTCTTCCAATCGTTCTTCAGCATGTATTGTGAGAGCTTGTGGTTGAATAGTGCTCTTTCTTCGAAGAATCTGACGGATAGAAAGCGACTAACATCCCCGTTGAGCATCAACCGAAGGCAGTTTTCCCCGCCTGGAGATGCAAAGATCAGACACCTGAGCTTGTCAGGTTCATTGGAAGTGGTCAGGAGGTCGCGAAGTGTTTCCATCGTCTCGCAGGCAAACCAATCCATATCCCTCTTGCCCAGAGCCAATCTCCAAAAACAGAGACATTGGAGAAGAATCTCAGTGACATCACTGTCGAGGCCTCTGATGTTCTGAGAGATAAGGATCTTCGCCAAGTGAAGCTTAGAGAATGATGACAGAGCTTTCGGATCGTGCTTGCTGCAGCGACAGACCAGCTGCTTCAGTCTGTCCCGAACAGTGCCAGCTTTTATCGTATCCATTGGCGGAGGGAAATCAGCCGGCAGACGTTGGTCGAATCGATGCCAGCTTATCATCCTACAGGACCACAGAGAAGCAAGAATTCTGAGGGAATCGGCAGCGATATTGTCAGAATCGTTTGGCACACTGGTCACCCAGGCAAGCAGAATGTCGAGAGTGCTCTCTTCGGTCAAGACAGACTTGACACATTCAGCCCAGACAGTGCTCGCTTGAGTGAAGTCCGGAATCTCCGACTCTAGCATCCAGCCAACAGGACAAAGCGTTGTGAAGCCGTTGCTGAGTCTGCTGGCATAAGACAGGTACCGCTTGCCGAGTTGGTTAGGACTCTTAGGACTCTTAGGAGAGACGGTGTTACTTGGCCTGCTTGAGTATGCCAGCTCCCCCTGTAGGAACACCTTCTCCTCCCCCTCCTCCCTCCCTTCCGCTATCCCTCGAAGGCGAAGGTGGTCATGGTAGTGCGCGTGGATATCACTTGCTGCATTTGCCAAGGAACAGATCGCCGACATGGCTGCCTTTTGGAGTGGGCGCCGCTTCACATCCTCCCCCCGCGTGCCTGCAACTATGGCGGATGGGGTGAGCTCCTCCTCAGCAACGCAACGCCGCTGCACCAGCTGAACCAAGGTTCGAACCAGGTTCTTCGTCCAGTACGTAAAGTCGTCGTCACACAGCATGCCAAGGATCCAATGCTCACCATGTAGCCTCTGATGGGGTTGCCAAGGGAGCACAGAGAGACCTGACGCAAAGCCTGCGACGATCTGAGCTGCAAGCCTGATGTGTTCAGTGTCAAGTGCAGAGCACTTGATCACCTGCAGCATTGTAAGATATCCTTGCTCACGAGCAAAGTCTATCCCAGCATCCACGTCGTGCCTGCAGCGGCTAGTCTGGGGAAGATCCTGCACGTGACTTGCCACCATCCCCTCCGAGCCAGCCCGGTGCCAGCAGCAGGCAATGTTCTGCTGAGACAGCTCAAGCAGCGATCGAAGCGTCATGCTCACTACTTCCCTTCTTCTCACATCCTCTCCTCCTCCTCCTCCTCCTCCTCCTTCCACTGCTACTGTCCCCTCCCCTCCCCCATCAGAAGCCAAGTCATGCATGCTATCCCTGACCTTATCCAGAAGCTCTGCCATACTGTGGAACCAGTAGCCGCTCAGTCCGCACTCGTCTGTATTTGTCTGCGCTTCCCCTGGTGGGTAAAAGAAATGACGACTGCAGTGGACGTACCACGTAACTCCTAGCTCCATCTCTGTCCGTATACGACAAAGTCGTTCCCATAAGGGAACAATTTCATCAACAGATGAAATCTCTGCTGAGTCCATGGATCGCCCGACTTGTGACTCTTGTGAGGCTAGCCCTTGACGCCGTTGACAGCAACGGCCAAGAACCAAGTACAGAAGGAATGCACAGCAGTCCCATATCAAACGCCCGATGGGAAAGAAGACACGAGAGAAGAAGATAAGGATAAACATCAAAAGTGAATGGATAAGGAGGAAAACGCAGGTAAGGAGAAGCAATTCATATAGGCGGGTCGTTCCCAAGCGCTTTTCGTACTCAGGGCAACCCTGTAGAGACGGAATGGCCTGATAGAGGGTCCGGCTATGTGGGGGGTTCTTTCGCGTCGAGTCCCTTTCGTGATCAGGACCAGCAGCCTGAAGATATGGAATGGCGTGGTAGAGGGTCAGACCCAATTGAACCTGAATGACAATAGTGAGCAAGTGGGCAACGGCTATCATGGCCACATAGGCAAAGGTGGAATCCACAAGCCCATTGAGTAAAGTGAAACTACCTAGGGTTGCTCTGTAAGCTCTACCTTGGCCAGAAGCGATCTGATTGCAGGACATACCATGAAAATACATTCGTTTGATGAATCCTCGTAGAAGCTTTGACATGGCTAGCAATAGTGTCAGAGCCACTTCGCTCCAGAAGATAGTGGCGGTCATGTCCTGCCCGAAAGTGCCCAACTGCAACCCCAGGATAGTTAATAGCAGATAACCTGTACCGGACTCCAACTCTTCAACAACCACGTAGGCCTCCACCTGCCTCCGCAAACTCTTAGATATCTTGTACACCATTTTCGTTCTTAAAGTTTGCTGAATGTGCCTGCTTCCCTACAATCTCTCCACTTCCGTTAAGCCACTGTCTGCTGTCTGACTAACTGTGTCCTCCCTTCGCCCCCCTATTACTTTTATCTTCCCCTGTGGGTATCACCTGTACTTCCCCCTCCCCTCCCCTCCCCTGCTCTCTCTCTCTCTCTCTCTCTCTCTCTCTCTCTCTCTCTCTCTCTCTCTCTCTCTCTCTCTCTCTCTCTCTCTCTCT